CTGCAGATGTTTGCAGGTGAAGAACTGGTGGAGACGTCCTGCAGGTAGAAGACTGACGGACGTTCTGTCAGAGTTCAGAGATGATTCTAAGAACGTCAGAGCGAACACGCTTCACGCTGTGATTGAAACGAGTGAAGGTTGACGTGAGGCTGAAGGAACAGTTCAGGTCGTGAAGCTTCGCTGTCGTTTATTTTGGTTCCTCTGCAGACGGTGGACGAGATGAGCTCGTGGTCAGAGGCTCGATTTAGAAACAGCAGAGCGACGGGCGTTCAGGTCGTGGGAACCTTCAGAGTCTTCGTTTGCATCACAGACTCGCAAGAAGCTTCCTGGAGACTCGTTTGACCAGAATGTTCGTTAATTCAGCCGCTGGTCGGACTAGAAGCTCATCAACCGACAAACTGCTTCTGACTGAACGCTGCCACAAAGGAAACAACGTTTGTTCTGAAACAGTCAAAGTGAAATAAAAGCTGTCGGAGCAAACGGTGTCTCAGCCTGGAGCTCTACGCTGACTGTTTGTCTGGTTCTTTGTGGTTTTCTGCTGAGTTTGAGTTTCAGCTGCTGTTGTCAAAAATAAACCAAATAGTCCAACAAACCAGGACGGAGGTTTACTGGTCGAGTTTAGAAGACGGAGGCTGAGTTTAAAGTTAAACTAAACACTGAGCGTCACTTGTTTCACGGAAACTATTTGCAGCAACAACAGCGTTCACACCTGGTTCTGGACTGGACTAGACTTAAGTTCTTGACTGGTTTTGGACTTTTAGACTTGGCTTTAGACACTTAGTCTGGTTTTAATCTGGTTTTGGTCTAGTTTTAGACCTGATTTAGACAGATGTCAGACTTGGTTTTAAATTAGTTTCAGTCTTGGTTTTAGATTTAGTTTTAGTCTGGGTTTTAGTCTTGTTTTAGAATTAGTTTGAAACTTCAATTTAGACTGTTTTAGTCCTGGTTTCAGTTTGTTTTGGACTTAGTTTAGACTCAGTTTAGACTGGTTTTAGACTTGGTTTTAGTCTGGTTCTAGACTGGTTTTAGATGAATTTCAGACTTGGTTTAAAACTAATTTTAGTCTGGTTTTGGACTTGTTTAGACCTGATTGAGACAGATCTCAGGCTTGTTTTTAAACTAGTTTTAGTGTGGTGTTGGTCTGGTTCTGGACTTGTTTTAGGTTTAAGTTCTTCACTGGTTTTGGACTTTCACACTTAGACAAATGTTAGTCTGGTTTCAGACGTGGCTATGGACTGAGTTTTAGTCTGGTTTTAATCTGGTTTTGGACTAGATTTAGACCCGATTTAGACAGATGTCAGACTTGGTTTTGAACCAGTTTCAGTCTGGTGTTGGTCTGGTTCTGGTTCTGGCCCGTGGTCCTGCTGAACTCCAGCGTCTGGTCAGATTCTCACAGTTTCAATCTGAGGTTTCGTCGTCGTGTTTCAGGTTCAACTTTCACAGTTTGTTCCTGAAATGAGTCATAAAGTCTGAATGCAGCTGATCAGAAACTCTGCAGCTTCACGTCAACTGTGGACCCACAATCACACGACAACACACAACAACACACGACAACACACGACAACACACAACAACACACGACATCAACACAACAACACACGACAACACACGACAACACACAACAACACACAACAACACACGACAACACATGACAACACACGACAACACACGACAACACACAGCGTCAACACAACAACACACAACAACACACGACATCAACACAACAACACACAACAACACACAACAACACATGACAACACATGACATCAACACAACAACACACAACAACACACA